TATTAATAACAATTTTTTTAATATTTCTATGTTGAAGTGATTTTATGATACTAACAATTATTATTGTAAATAAGTTTCATGTGTAAATACGATATGTAACATTTATTCATTTTAAAGTTTTGTTGTGTAATAACTATATAGGAAACATTGCGATATTACAATTGAAAAAAAATACTATTATTTTATTGATTTTCAAAAACATACTATCAATTAAATAAGATTTGATATTTAAAATGGGTAATTAGCTAAAATAATAAACTTTTAATACACTGTTTTAAAATAACAAATTATTACAAACATCTTAGTAAACAACAAAAGAAAATCTATATTCTCATTTATCAGTAATTCTGATTACACCAAGACTAATTAATCTATATATTAATTGTGCAAGTTAGGTGTTGCCACATCCTTTACTAACATCCATGTTAATTTGTCCAATGTCTAAACTCATGACTCATCTGTATAATTTTCATCACAATTAAACTAAAAAGAATATGATAGTTGTTAATCCATCCCATGTCTAAACTCATAAATACAATCTTCATCACAATAAAATAAAAAAGAATATTATGATAAAGAATTGGATATGATACATCTACAATTCAATTTTCATGCATGAAATATATTCACAAAATAAAAAAAATAAAGTAATTAATAAATATAATATACAAACAACTTGCTAAAGTGCTTACCTGAAATAGTTGCGAAATATTGCATTTTTTAAAAATAAAACTACCAATAAAATACACTTTATTAAATTTATATACTATTTTTTCAATATATGCAATTGCATGTATATTAATAAGAACTAAATATGAAACTTTTAATTTTCATTTACATGATTGTATAGTAAATTCTGTATGGTACTACACAACAAAGGAATAATCCTTATTCACAGAGATTGAACAATGTTATTGATATATCGACAAACTAAACCTAAAATTATTCAGGAAAAAAAATACAGTATTACTACAGTATATATATATATATATATATATATATATATATATATATATATATATATATATATATATATATATATATATATATATATATATATATATATCTTAAAAATATAATGGTAGTGAATATAAACATGAAAAAAAAATTAATACACATATATTTACGATCCGCACTCTTTTGAGTTGTCATCCCCACAATTAAAATTAGGCATGTCTAATTATGCCTGATATATTGAATGTTAATGGTCATAATTAAAATTAAATATTCACCATAATTAAATTTAACCAATATAATAATATATTCTGCACGGTAAATGTTATTAGGCATGTCTAATTATGTCTAATATATTGAAGTCCTATAATACACGAAAATAGGAATAGTGGAATACTATTAGGATGTAAATGGAGATGAATATAAAATTACTATAATTTGATTTGATTTGAGTCTAATTATGCCTAATATATTGAAGTCCTATAATACACGGAAATAGGAATATATCTAATATAAATGGAGATGAATATAAAATTACTATAATTTGATTTGAATATAATGGCATATAATAATATCTATATATAAATAATGGATGATATTACATAAATGCCTCTAAGTTTTGAGGGAAAAATTTATAGATTAGGATTATTGTTATGCGTGTACATACATATATTTGATTTGGACTTGTGTACCAAGGCTCAATATAATAAAATGGGCTACGAAGATATCATGTCAAAATTGTAGCTTAAAGAATATAATATAAATTAGGCAAAATAATTTATTTATTTAAAGTAGAAAATACTAATTTATATTTATAGGTAGAAAATACTAATTTAAATGGAAAGAATAATAATTTATTTATTTATTTAAGTTAATAACATCATTATTATTATTATTATATCATTATTATATATATATATATATATATATATATATATATATATATATATATATATTATAAAAAATGCTGTAAAATGAACTATGCTTGTTAAAAAAAACATAGAAACTTGAATGGCATGTACAAATCTCAAAATTAACATACTAACTCTAAGTTTCAGAAAATCTTACAAAATCATCAAAATTACCGTCTTTATCATCCTCGATCGCATCTCTACAATCTTCCATAAAAACTAAACCAATATGGTTCTGTTACAAATGCTCTTCCTCCTCAATTTCCTTTTGTTGAAGCAGAGCCTCCTTAAATATCTTCAAACTCATACCAGACGATATAAACTGCAAAACATATTGAAGTACGTGAGAATATAGTTAGAAAAATGTAAAAAAATTCATACAAAAAGAAAGCAGTGAGATGAGTCTGAGATTCTTTGATTGAAGAAGCCCTTGCATTTATAGGTAGAAAATACTAATTCAAAAGGAAAGTATAATAATTTATTTATTTAAAGTAATAAAATTATTATTATTATTATTATTTTATTTAATTTCCATTTGACATTTACTTACCAAATAAGTTTTACTACAAAATTTTTGGGGGGAAAATTTGTTAGGAGGATTTTACTTTTATATATATATATAGATATATATATAGATTGCTTGTTAATCTTATTCTAATACAATCTTGAAGTTGTATGGGTTGCGTTTCTTCGAGTCAAGAGCTAAACTCCATGGTTGTGCTTCGAGTAGCAGCCCAACTCCAAACTCAGCCTACGTCCACTATTCCCTTTTCATTCCAAGGAGGAATTTCCTTGACATAGTGATCAAATTACAATGATGCACTATCCTTCATTGCCTGATTGGAGCTTGCCAATGATATATTACCAAGTTCCCTTGCAAATTGCAATTGCTATTGGGGAATTTTTTTTATTTTTATTTTTGTCAAAAAGACAAAAAATTAAAATGTGTGTTATAATGAATTAGAATTAATTTCACTTTTGGTACCACGACTATTGAATATTATTACTTCATTTTTAAATCATTTTTGGTCATTCCGGTCAAATTGATCATTTTACCCAAATTAAAGAATATAAACCTAGCTAGTTGAGATTTTCTTTTGGGGAAAATCTTTTCACTAATTTGGAGAAGTAATCGGCAGGTCAAAGCTCTAAACAACAAATAATATAAAATGTCCTTTTTACCCTTCATTTTGACACACACTTATCACCAAATCTAACTGGGGACTATTCTGACTTAGATTTCAGTAGTTGGAGGATCACTTTAGGTGCAATTAAAAGTCAAAGAATCAATTTGAGAAAAGGCTATAATCGGATGACCATTTTGAAAATTATATCATTTGAAATATTACTGAAGAATAAATGATTGATACGTACACCTGATCTGGCAATTAGATCAGCAGCAACTAATCTGCTCTTTAATTTATAATTTTTATCCTTTTATTCTTCAATTATGATTATGATATGTACCATGAAGTTGGACGGATTATCTTTATTCATTTTTAATTATTTGTTTCCAGATCTGAAAACAACATAAATATCCATTATATTGACTTAACCAACAAACACAACTCATCACCTAACAAATTAATGTAAACAGGTTTTTCTTTATACATGAGTATACAACTTTGACCGATTACTGATATAACTTATCCACTACTTGCACCTAGCAGCCATTAAAAACAATAAATGATGCGAAGTGTGAGCCAAACAAACAATAAATAAATAATACGAGAAAATAGCATTCTTTTGTCATTATATCTAATATTAAATAGCAATTTCATTTTACAAATTGTTGACATAATGAATATTGTTAATATTCTAAGGTTTTACATGGTTGCGATTTTGGTTTCTCTTTTGATGAGATGGTGATTTTGACGGTTTTGGTATATATTAACTTAATAACGGAGACTTTAATAATTTAGAATTGTAAATTACAATTTTATTCATATATTGACTAGTAGGCTCCATACATGCCATAACAATTTTTAACCGTTATCATTAACCAATGATAAAAATCGTTAGTTTATGAAAAATTGAAGGGTCAATAATACTTGCATAGACAATTGAAGAATTGAAACTAATATTTCATATAAATGTACGAACAAAAAACACTCATCTTTCTAATAAAAAACATATAACAATATTGCAGCAGGATGGGGTCATTTGCAATTAACATTTTCACTAGGTTTTCTCGTGTGATTTATATTTATTAGATACTCATGAATTGAGTGACTATATCTACTTGTAATCAATTAACCTAGGTTGGTTTACTTCCTGTAATTCTTTGTAGGATAGAGTCACAATGCGGAGTTTACCTACACCCGAAAGGGTTGTAAAGTTTTCCTCATTATTTAAAAAAAAAAAAAAATACTAAAGAATCCAATAAGATAATGTCATGATCAAGAAGAAAAATTTAGGGGTCGTGTAGCATTAATCTTAAACACAAATTTGCATTGGGGAAAAGAAAAAGTGCATTACAATTTAATTTTTTATATATATAAATTAGAACGTATGAAAAGAATAATATTGACTGGAACAATATTTATAACAGAAAGTCCCCAATTTCAGAATTTAACCCGAGTTGACTCAGCCTCGGGTACGCCATCTAGAGTCAAATGTTATACCATGAACCAAGGTTCGTATTGCATTGTAAACCTAATACAAAAATACTATCCCTTCAGTTAACATATTTTGTACCTTCAGTTAACACATTTTGTACCTACAGTTAATAGTATCTATACATGTAAACAAATAACTTGATAATTGGTGACACATAATATGATAGCTATAAATACAGAAACTATCAACTGCGAGTACAAAATGTGTCAACTATAGATACAGAATCTGACTTGATAATTGCTCACACATAATATGATAGCTACATGTATAGAAACTATCAACTGCAAATATGTCAACTATAGACACAGAATCTGAAGTTATTTTTGAAAGGGTCTACAATGCAAGGTAGAACCTGGTCCATGGTATAATTTGCCATCTAGAGTACTGACTACTGCAACGCCTGATATTCAAGGGAGTTGTTTTTAACTCTTTACTTTTTACAGACACCAAAATTTCAAAGTTCTTTCTACTCTTCTGTTCATTAAGGCAGAAGCTGGAATTCAATTGGGATTTCCCCTAAATGTCTTATTTTGGTTGTCAAAATTAGAAAACAGAGCCATTTCTATGGGAGAAAGAGGTTTCATTAAGCAAGAATCTCTTCTTCCATGAAACAATGCTTGTCCTTTTTGTCAAAACAGATTCTACAACATTTTTCAGTTTTTATCCTGCATAGGATATATAAACTTCATGCAGAAAAATGGAGTCAGTGGAAGGGCTCAGGCACTACTTCTTTTGCTCCATTTTACTATCCCTATTAACATTTTGCACCTCAGCAGACACCATAACCACAGATCAACCCATCACAGATGGCAGAACCATAGTTTCAGCTGGTGGAAACTTTGAACTTGGATTTTTCAGCCCTGGAAAATCCAAGAATCGATATGTTGGCATTTGGTACAGCAAGATACCAACTAAGGATGTGGTCTGGGTTGCTAACAGAGATACTCCGCTAAACAACACTTCTGGCAAGCTAATGCTCAAAGACAATGGGATCCTAGTACTCCTAGATGGTAGCAATCAAGAAATCTGGTCATCAAATTCATCAACATCCTTGAAAAATCCAGTGGCCAGGCTTTTGGACACTGGAAATCTTGTTGTGAGAGAGGGAAATGGCCAAAGTTCCAACAATTCTGCCTGGCAGAGTTTTGATTATCCTGGTAATACTTTGCTACCAGGCATGAAGCTAGGCCGGAACTTAGCCACTGGTCATGCCTGGTCCCTGACCTCGTGGAAGAGCGCTGATGATCCTGCTGTAGGTGAATACACAGAAATGGTAGACATTAATGGATTCCCCGAAATTTCTCAGTTCAGAGGTGCAAACAAATCTCCTATTTCTAGATCTGGGCCTTGGAACGGAGAGATGTTTACTGGTGTGCCTAACATTAAAGATAATCCCTACTATACGTTTGAGTTTATTATGAATGACAGAGAGATTTACTACACATATGAGCTTATAGATAGCTCGGTTCCTAGCAGGGTTGTAATCAATCCAACTGGCATGATTGACCGCTTAATATGGATTGAGCGCACCAAAAGCTGGATTGTTTACTTGACAGCACAGACAGATAACTGTGAGCGTTATGGGACGTGCGGAGCTTTTGGCAAGTGCAATATCAACAGCTCCCCTCCCTGTGACTGTCTGAAAGGATTTATCCCAAAATATCCACAAGATTGGGATGCAACAGATTGGTCAAATGGGTGTGTCCGGAGAACTCAATTGGATTGTGGGGATGCTGACAGGTTTTATACATACAGAGGTCTAAAATTGCCAGATACATCGCATTCCTGGTATGATAGGAGCATTGGCCTTGAGGAATGTAAGGGATTGTGCTTGAAAAATTGCAGCTGTACAGCTTATTCTAATGTAGATGTAAGATATGGTGGAAGTGGGTGCTTGCTCTGGTTTGGAGACCTAACTAATATTAGGGAGTTCGATCAAGTTGATCAAGATCTGTACGTGAGAATTGCTGCATCAGATTCTGGTAAGAGTATTTTCAAGAGCATTTTACACTTATTCAGATCATATTCTTGATCAATCTACTTATGTGGCATCACATTTGAAGTTCTATGACTGATAGATAGGCTGGGAAATAAATCATGACAGATATCTCTCAAAATGGACAGAAGAAACAAGAGGTGACGAAGATAGTTATACCAACAATTTCAGGGATACTTATTCTAAGCTTTTTGGTTTGGTTTGCACTATATAAAAGGAAAAAAGGTCAGATTTTTTACCACCTTTAATATGCAAGGTTGAGTGTCAAATATTTTCAGGCATTACTACTAACCCGAAGCAAAATTCCTATCTAGCTTGACTACCTGTTTTGCGAAATGATTATGCTACAGTAATAAGAGAAATTCTTCATTCACAGCAATGATTTCTAAAAATTCTTCTATTTCCAATTTTACAGGAGCTAAGGTTGACAAGGAAGACTGTGATTTACCATTATTTACTTTGGAAACTGTAGTCTCCGCAACAAACAACTTTTCTTCTGATAATCTTATTGGAGAGGGTGGATTTGGACCTGTTTACAAGGTATTGAATTGCACAAAACTTGGGCTCTTTAGTCATGCTGAGGAATCAAAGACAGTATTACATGCTTTGGTAAAACTATTGCAGGGTAAGCTACCGACTGGAACAGAAATAGCGGTCAAGAAGCTTTCTGAATATTCTGGCCAAGGTGCTCAGGAGTGGGAGAATGAAGTGTGCATAATTGCAAAACTTCAACATAGAAACCTCGTTACGCTTCAAGGTTGCTGTGCCGAGGGAGGACAAAGGATTCTAATATATGAATATATGCCAAATAATAGCTTGGACTACTTCATATTTGGTTAGATTTTCTTGACTTCTATATCAAAAAAACCAGCAGTGTGACAATATAGCTACTAAATTTCTAAAAAAAAACGAATCAACAATAATATGTATGCAGATGAGAGCAGAAAAGGAATACTTACATGGCAAAAACGCTTTGAAATTGCTGTGGGAATATCACGTGGACTCCTTTATCTTCACCAGGACGCCAGATTAAGAATTATACATAGAGATCTGAAGGTAAGTAACATATTACTGGATGCTGAATTGAACGCCAAGATTTCAGACTTTGGCCTTGCTAGAATTGTAGGAGAAGACGATGCTCTGGCAAGAACAAAGCGAATTGTAGGAACATAGTAAGTTTCATCAGCATCAAAACATTAATGCACTGTGCTAATCAATTAATAACAGTTAGGTTGGTGTTGATGTTTGGATGCAGTGGTTATATGTCACCTGAGTATGTTCTTGATGGCAACTTTTCAGTAAAATCAGACGTTTTCAGCCTTGGAGTGATTCTATTAGAACTCGTTAGTGGAAGGAAGAACAGGAGGTTTCATCATTTAGAGCATCATCACAATCTTCTAGGTCATGTAAGTATATATGATTTTGTTGTACCTTTTTACTAATTTGTTGAATAAGATGAATAACTAGTTTGGTTATACTATACTGTAGGCATGGCTATTGTGGAATGATGGTGACCCTATAGAACTAATGGATAATTGTGTGAGAGACTCTTATGTGGAATCTCAAGTGCTAAGATGCATTCATGTAGCTCTTCTTTGTGTGTCGAAACTACCAGAAGACAGGCCAACAATGACCTCAGTGGTTTTAATGTTGGAGAATGAGGAAGTGGCTTTACCTCAACCTAAAGAGCCAGGCTTCTTTGTGGAAAGGAATTCAACTGAAGCATCTTCTTCAAATGAGGAAACATCCTACTCTGAAGCTGCAAACATGACATTCAGCATTCTTGAAGGTAGATAAAAACAACATTTAAGTTTTTGAGTGGATAGATAACCATAATGGACACTATGATTAATATTAAGATTGTATCTCTCCATATCATTTCATTGTTCCCAAAATGTTGAATCCCCAACCCGAAAGGCCCTCTACGCCCCCGGCCCAACAGAGCTGGGAGGCTAGACCTTTGCTTACTGCGTACAAAGAGCTCCCCTCACTTTGAGAGGTTGCTTCTACCTGGTGAGACTTGATCCCGGGTCATTGTTCCCAAACTTCACCCTTGACCAACTGAGTTGCCCATGCGGGTCTTTTCATCAACAGGGTGCAATTATTTCAATTTGTCTCTACTCCTCAGGCCCCTATAAATGAAGACACCTGATCTGGCAATTTGATCAACAGCAACTCATTTGCTTTTTAATTTATAATTTTTATCCTTTTATTCTTCAATTATGCTATGTACCATGAAGCTGGACGGATTATCTTTATTCATTTTAATTATTTGTTTCAAGATATGAAAAACAACATAAATGTCCATTGACTATTAACTAACAAACACAACCAACAAATTAATGTCACGCAGTGCAAATTTGACCGATATCCACTACTTGCACCCAATAGCCACTGACAACGATCAATGATGCGAAGTGCGAGCCAAACAATAAATTAATAAGAGAAAATAGCATTTTTGGGGTCATTATATTTATATCAAATAGCAATTTCATTTTACAAATTATTGATATAATTTAACATTCTAAAAGTTTTCACAAGATCACGATTTTAGTCTCTCTTTTTATGAGATGGAGGTTTTGACAATTTTGGTTCATTAACCAATTCATGGAGACTTTAATAATCCAAAATTGGAAATTATAATTTTGTTTCCATATTGACTTATAGGCTCCATATGTGCGATAACAATTTTTAACGGTTATCATTAACTAATGACAAAATTTACTGCCTCATGAAAAATTTTGAAGTATCAATGATACTTACATAAACAATTGAGGAATTGAACCTATTATTTTGCATAAATATATGGGCAAAAAACACTAATTTTTCTAATAAAAAACATATAACATTATTGCAACGTAATAGGGTCATTTGCAATAAATAAATAAGAGAAAAATATCATTTTCCTAATAAGTGACTCCACTCACTTGTAATCAAATAACATTATTGCAACGTAATAGGGTCATTTGCAATAAATAAATAAGAGAAAAATATCATTTTCCTAATAAGTGACTCCACTCACTTGTAATCAAATATTAAAGAATCCAATCAGATAGTATTATACTCAGAAAAGAAATTTAAGAGGGTCGTGTAGTACTAAGTTCTACTACATGTCCTCCTAAATTCTACCCCATCACTTTTACTCTATGACATGACAAATAAAGATAGACTATTTTCATCATGTAGGTCCTAAAGAAAGAGTCAATATGAGGAATTTGTAAGAGGGAATAAAAGTTGGAATGTAGTATTTTCGTAATACTACTCTTTAAACATAAATTCACATTTAGAGAGAGAGAAAAAAAAAAAAAAAAAAAGTGCATCACAATTTAGTCAACAGGTATAAAAAGGTTCCTATTCTTGGAGTGTTCCCCTTCCCTATGATATAAAAAAACAGGTATAAAAAGAATAATACCCAACTATATTGACTCAGCACCGACTACGACATCCTGAGTACTGAACAGACTACTGCCACGCCGGATCTTTTACCGACACCAAAAATTCAAAGTTCTACTCTGATCATTAAGGCAGAAGGTGGAATTCAATTGGGATTTCTCCGACATGTCTGTTTTCGGTTGTCGGAATTAGAAAACAGAGCCATTTCTATGGGAGAAAGAGGTTTCATTAAGCAAAAATCTCTTCTTTCATGAAACAATTCAGTTTTTATGAATATAGGATTTATAAGCTTGATCAAGAAAATCCCAGAAAACTGGAAATGAAATCATTGCAAGGGCTGAGGCTCTACTTCTTTTGCTCCAGTTTACTATCTCTATTCACATTTTGCACCTCAGCAGACACCATAACCCCAGATCACCCCATCACAGATGGTACTACCATAGTTTCAGCTGGTGGAAACTTTGAACTTGGATTTTTCAGCCCTGGAAAATCCAAGAAGCGATATGTTGGCATTTGGTACAGCAACATACCAACTAAGGATGTGGTCTGGGTTGCTAACAGAGATACTCCGCTAAACAACACTTCTGGCAAGCTAATCCTCAAGGACAATGGGATCCTAGTACTCCTAAATGGTAGCAAAGAAGAAATCTGGTCATCAAATTCATCAAAATCCTTGAAAAATCCAGTGGCTCAGCTTTCAGACACAGGAAATCTTGTTGTGAGAGCGGGAAATGACCATAGTTCCAAAAATTCCGCCTGGCAGAGTTTTGATTATCCTGGCAATACTTTGCTACCAGGCATGAAGCTTGGCCGGAACTTAGTCACTGGCCATGTCTGGTACCAGAACTCGTGGAAGAGCGCTGATGATCCTGCTGTAGGTGAATACACAGAAATGATAGACATTAATGGATTCCCCGAAATTTTTCAGTTCAGAGGTGCAAACAAATCTCCTTTTTCTAGATCTGGGCCTTGGAATGGAGAGATGTTTACTGGCGTGCCTAGCATTAAAAATAATCCCTACTATACGTTTGAGTTTATTATGAATGACAGAGAGATATACTACACATATGAGCCTACAGATAGCTCAGTTCCTAGCAGGGTTGTAATCAATCCAACTGGCATCATTGAACGCTTAACATGGATTGAACGCACCAAAAGCTGGATTGTTTACTTGACAGCACAGACAGATAACTGTGATCGTTATGGGATGTGTGGAGCTTTTGGCAAGTGCAATATCAACAGCTCCCCACCCTGTGACTGTCTGAAAGGATTTATCCCAAAATATCTACAAGACTGGGAGGCAACAGATTGGTCAAATGGGTGTGTCCGCAGAACTCAATTGGATTGTGGGGAAGCTGACAGATTTTTTATATACAGAGGTGTAAAATTGCCAGACACACGCCATTCCTGGTATGACAGGAGCATTGGCCTCGAGGAATGTAAGAGATTGTGCTTGAAAAATTGCAGCTGTACAGCTTATTCTAATATAGATGTAAGAGATGGTGGAAGTGGATGCTTGCTCTGGTTTGGAGACCTAACTGATATTAGGGTTTTGGATGAAGTTGATCAAGATCTGTACATAAGGATTGCTGCATCAGATTTTGGTAAGAGTATTTATTTCCTTGTGGTACTGCAATTAATTTCTGCTATGGTGCAAAATTCTTTATAACATAGTACTAGTGCATAGCAAGTTGAACTGGCTAAGGATAAAGTTTCTTTCAAGCTTGCTTGATTTTCAAGAGCATTTAAACTTATTCAGATCATATTCTTGATCAATCTACTTATGTGGCACCACATTTGAAGTTCTATGACTGATAGGCTGGGATATAATTCATGGCAGATATCTCTCAAAATGGACAGAAGAAACAAGAGGTGACGAAGATAGTTATACCCACAATTTCAGGGATACTTATTCTAAGCTTTTTGGTTTGGTTTGCACTATATAAAAGGAAAAAAGGTCAGATTTTTTACCACCTTTAATATGCAATGTTGAGTGTCAAATATTTTCAGGCATTACTACTAACCTGAAGCAAAATTCATATCTAGCTTGACTACCTGTTTTGAGAAATGATTATGCTACAGTAATAAGAGAAACTCTTCATTCACAGCAATGATTTCTAAAAATTCTTCTATTTCCTATTTTACAGGAGCTAAGGTTGACAAGGAAGACTGTGATTTACCATTATTTACTTTGAAAACTGTAGTCTCCGCAACAAACAACTTTTCTTCTGATAATCTTATTGGAGAGGGTGGATTTGGACCTGTTTACAAGGTATTGAATTGCACAAAACTTGGGCTCTTTAGTCATGCTGAGGAATCAAAGACAATATTACATGCTTTGGTAAAACTATTGCAGGGTAAGATACCAACTGGAACAGAAATAGCGGTAAAGAAGCTTTCTGAAAATTCTGGCCAAGGTGTTACGGAGTGGGAGAATGAAGTGAGCATAATTGCAAAACTTCAACATAGAAACCTCGTCACGCTTCAAGGTTGCTGCGCCGAGGGAGGACAAAGGATACTAATATATGAATATATGCCAAACAATAGCTTGGACTACTTCATATTTGGTTAGATTTTCTTGACTTCTAAATCGAAAAAACCAGCAGTGTGACAATAGCTACTAAATTTCTCATACAAAACTGAATCAACAATAATATGTATGCAGATGAGAGCAGAAAAGGAATACTTACCTGGCAAAAACGCTTTGAAATTGCTGTGGGAATATCACGTGGACTCCTTTATCTTCATCAGGACTCCAGATTCAAAATTATACATAGAGATCTGAAGGCGAGTAACATATTACTGGATGCTGAATTGAACGCCAAGATTTCTGACTTTGGCCTTGCTAGAATTGTAGGTGAAGATGATGCTCTGGCAAGAACAAAGCGAATTATAGGAACATAGTAAGTTTCATTAGCATCAAAACATTAATGCAATGTGCTAATCAATTAATAACTTAAGTTGGTCTGTTGGTGTTGATGTTTGATACAGTGGTTACATGTCACCCGAGTATGCTGTTGATGGCAACTTCTCTGTAAAATCAGACGTTTTCAGCCTTGGAGTGATTCTATTAGAACTCATTAGTGGAAGAAAGAACAGGAAGTTTCAGCATTTAGACCATCATCACAATCTTCTAGGTCATGTAAGTATATATGATTTTGTTGTACCTTTTTACTAATTTGTTGAATAAGATGAATAACTAATTTGGTTATACTATACTGTAGGCATGGCTATTGTGGAATGATGGTGACCCTCTAGAACTAATGGATAATTGTGTGAGAGACTCTTATGTGGAATCTCAAGTGATAAGATGCATTCATGTAGCTCTTCTTTGTGTTTCGAAACTACCAGAAGACAGACCAACAATGGCATCAGTAGTTTTCATGTTGGAGAATGAGGAAGTCGCTATACCTCAACCTAAAGAGCCAGGCTTCTTTGTGGAAAGGAATTCAACTGAAGCATCTTCTTCAAATGAGGAAACATCCCACTCTGAAGCTGCAAACATGACATTCAGCATTCTTGAACCTAGATAAAAACAACATATAATTTTTTGAGTGGGTACATAACCAAAATGGACACTAAGATTAAGATTAAGATTGTATCTCTCCATATCATTTCATCTTATCCAACGGAGTGCAATTTTTCCAAAATATATATATATATATATATATATATATATATATATATATATATATATATATATATATATATATATATATATATATTGCTTCAAACTTAAATATTTGTATGTTAATATATTCAATAATACGGAGTAGTTCTTCTTAACTAAATTTTCAAGCTAAACCTAATTTTATTAGTACTATATTTATTTTAAAGAATTAAGTATAAAACTAAGAATTAAGTCTAATCTAATCAATATATTAATTACCGAGAAAAATGCATTTTGAAGAAAATACACTGAATGTTTTTTTTGTCAAAATTGCATTAATGGAGGAGGTTTAATTTAATTAAGTAAGAATCTCTTCTTTCAAGAAACAAGAGTGCCATTGACCACTTGCTTTTCCTTTTTGTCAAAGTGGCTGATTTCTTAACATCATTAGCTTTTCTACCCTGTACAAGATTTATAAATTTCAAGCATAAAATCTGAGAAAAAAAAACAGAAAATGAAATCAATGGAAGGGCAAGGGCTCTACTTCTTTTGCTCCATTTTACTATCTCTATTCACATTTTGCACATCAGTAGACACCATAACAATAGATCATCCCATCACAGATGGCACTACCATAGTTTCAGCTGGTCGCAACTTCAAACTTGGATTTTTCAGCCCAGGAAAATCCAAGAATCGATATGTTGGCATTTGGTACAGCAAGATACCAACTAAGGATGTGGTCTGGGTTGCTAACAGAGAAACTCCGCTAAACAACACTTCTGGCAAGCTAATGCTCAAAGTCAATGGGATCCTAGTACTCCTAGATGGTTGCAATAAAGAAATCTGGTCATCGAATTCATCAATATCCTTGAAAAATCCAGTGGCTCAGCTTTCAGACACAGGAAATCTTGTTGTGAGAGAGGGAAATGACCATAATTCCAAAAATTCCGCTTGGCAGAGTTTTGATTATCCTGGTAATACTTTGCTTGCATGAAGCTTGGCCAGAACTTAGCCACCGGTCATGTCTGGAGCCTGACATCATGGAAGAGCAATGATGATCCTGCTCTAGGTGAATACTCAGAAATGCTGGATGTTGATGGATTCCCTCAACTTTTTCTTTACAGGGGTGTAAATAAATCTATTAGATTTAGACATGGGCCATGGAATGGACAGATCTTTACTGGTACACCTAATTTTAAGAACAATTCACATTATACGATTTGCTTTTTATCGATCAGAAGGAGATATACTACAAATATGAGCTTGTTAATAGTTCAGCTCAAAGCAGGGTCGTATTAAATTCAGCTAGAACTATTTAGAGCTTAATTTGGATTGAACGAACCCAAAGTTGGTCTGTTCACATGACAGGTCAAACAGATAACTGCGCAAGATATTCATTTTATGGAGCTTTCGGTAAGTGCAATATCAACAACTCCCCTCCCTGTGACTGTCTGAAAGGATTTATACCAAAATATCCACAAGACTGGGAGGCAACAGATTGGTCAAATGGGTGTGTCCGCAGAACTCCATTGGATTGTGGGGATGCTGACAGATTTTTTATATACAGAGGTGTAAAATTGCCAGACACGCCATTCCTAGTATGACAGGAGCATTGGCCTTGAGGAATGTAAGAGATTGTGCTTGAAAAATTGCAGCTGTACAGCTTATTCTAATATAGATGTAAGAGATGGTGGAAGTGGATGCTTGCTCTGGTTTGGAGACCTAACTGATATTAGTTATTTGGATGAAGATGATCAAGATCTGTACATAAGGATTGCTGCATCAGATTTTGGTAAGAGTATTTATTTCCTTGTGGTAGTGCAATTAATTTCTGCTATGGTGCAAAATTCTTGAAAACATAGTACTAGTGCAGAGCAAGTTAAACTGGCTAAGGATAAAGTTTCTTTCAAGCTTGCTTGATTTTCAAGAGCATTTTACACTTATTCAGATCATATTCTTGATCAATCTACTTATGTGGCACCACATTTGAAGTTCTATGACTGATAGGCTGGGATATAATTCATGGCAGATATCTCTCAAAATGGACAGAAGAAACAAGAGGTGACGAAGATAGTTATACCCACAATTTCAGGGATACTTATTCTAAGCTTTTTGGTTTGGTTTGCACTATATAAAAGGAAAAAAGGTCAGATTTTTTACCACCTTTAATATGCAATGTTGAGTGTCAAATATTTTCAGGCATTACTACTAACCTGAAGCAAAATTCCTATCTAGCTTGACTAACTGTTTTGAGAAATGATTATGCTACAGTAATAAGAGAAACTCTTCATTCACAGCAATGATTTCGAAAATTCTTCTATTTCCAATTTTACAGGAGCTAAGATAGACAAGGAAGACTGTGATTTACCTAGAGCCGTCAAAATGGGTTTAGCCCGCCGGGCTTTCCCGCCCTGCCCACCAAAAGGGCGGGGTGGGCTTATGTTTTTGAAGCCCATTTTAAAAACGGGCTTTTTTGCCCGCCCCGCCTAGCCCGCCAGCCCGCCTTTTTTTTTTTTTTTTAGTTATATATATAACTAATATATATATTAGGTACTGTATATATACAGTAACTAATATATATATATTACTAATATATATATATATATATTAGTTACTGTATATATAGAGTAACTAATATATATATTAGTTATATATATATATAGTTACTGTAAGTAACTAATATATATATATATATATATATATATATATATATATATATATATATATATATATATATATAATTAATATATATAATATGTATAATAGTATCGGTTATTCGGTGATCGCGGTTATTACACCTTCATAATCGAATAGTCGAATAACTGATTTTTTTTTCCTTATAACCGTTAATCGAAATTATCCGTCGGTTCGGTTATCGATTATCGGTTTTTCGGTAATTATACTTACCCCTATTGGTGTCATTGTTGTCATGTTGTGATGAACGAATTTATGTTATTTTCTTGTGAATAAGTATTTTAAGTAGATAGCAATTAAGTTATTTACATAGTCACATTAGAGTTTAGATTTTAGGGACACTTCACACATGATTTAAAAAAAAAAAAAAAAAAAAAAAAAAAAAAAAAAGAGGCGGGCTTTGGCGGGGCCCGCGGGCCTAAGGGGGCCGGGGCGGGCTGCCTCTATCTAGGCCCGTATTCTTGGCGGGCTTTGGCGGGCCCCGCCCCGCAAGCCCGCATTGACAGCTCTAGATTTACCATTATTTACTTTGGAAACTGTAGTCTCCGCAACAAACAACTTTTCTTCTGATAATCTTATTGGAGAGGGTGGATTTGGATTTGTTTACAAGGTATTGAATTGCACAAAACTTGGGCTCTTTAGTCATTCTGAGGAATCAAAGTCAATATTACATGCTTTGGTAAAACTATTGCAGGGTAAGCTACCAACTGGAACAGAAATAGCAGTCAAGAAGATTTCTGAAAATTCTGGCCAAGGTGCTCAGGAGTGGGAAAATGAAGTGATCATAATTGCAAAACTTCAACATAGAAACCTTGTCACACTTCAAGGTTGCTGTGCCGAGGGAGGACAAAGGATTCTAATATATGAATATATGCCAAATAATAGCTTGGACTACTTCATATTTGGTTAGATTTTCTTTACTTCTAAATCGAAAAAACCAGCAGTAATGACAATAGCTACTAAATTTCTCATACAAAACTCAATCAACAATAATATGTATGCAGATGAGAGCAGAAAAAGAATACTTACCTGGCAAAAACGCTTTGAAATTGCTGTGGGAATATCACATGGAATCCTTTATCTTCATCAGGACTCCAGATTCAAAATTATACATAGAGATCTGAAGGCGAGTAACATATTACTGGATGCTGAATTGAACGCCAAGATTTCTGACTTTGGCCTTGCTAGAATTGTAGGAGAAGATGATGCTCTGGCAAGAACAAAACGAATTATAGGAACATAGTAAGTTTCATTAGCATCAAAACATTAATGCACTGTGCTAACAATTACTCCGTAATAACTTATGTTGGTCTGTTGGTGTTGATGTTTGATACAGTGGTTATATGTCACCCGAGTATGCTGTTGATGGCAACTTCTCTGTAAAATCAGATGTTTTCAGCCTTGGAGTGATTTTATTGGAACTCATTAGTGGAAGGAAGAACAGGACATTTCATCATTCAGATCATCACCACAATCTTCTGGGTCATGTAAGTATATGTGATTTTGTACCTTTTTACTAATTTATTGAATCAGATGAATAACGAGTTTGGTTATACTATATACTGTAGGCATGGCTCTTGTGGAATGATGGTGACCCTATAGAACTAATGGATAATTGTGTGAGAGACTCTTATGTGGAATCTCAAGTGCTAAGATGCATTCATGTAGCTCTTCTTTGTGTTTCGAAACTACCAGAAGACAGACCAACAATGGCCTCAGTAGTTTTCATGTTGGAGAATGAGGAAGTGGCTTTACCTCAACCAAAAGAGCCAGGCTTCTTTGTGGAAAGGAATTCAACTGAAGCATCTTCCAAAAATGTGGACATATGCCACTCTGAAGTTGCAAAGATGACATTCAGCATTCTTGAGCCTAGATAAAAACAACATATAATTTTTTGAATGGGTACATAACCAAAATGGACACTAAGATTAGTATAATTCCTCCTACTCCTAATAAACCCCCACCATACAGATGAGGAAAGAAGTTGCTATGAAATTGCAATGAAAACATTTCATCTCCCTCTATTGCTTCTAACTCAATCAAACCCTCTTCTAATTTACTCCCACCATTTGGAATGAATACTGCTGTAAAATGTACTGTATTTATTTTGGATAGCATAGAACCTTAATTTTTTAGGGCAACTGAGGAAATGAGCCGTCTGGGAAATGTGGTTGCCGATAAAGCTGATGAAATTGCCGGCGACTTCTTATACGTCAGCCGACATCGACGTTAGCGTTGGTGTTTTCATTTTCCATTATTATGTCATTGCTAATGTAGTGTGTAACCTTGACATCGATCGTCTTCCACCCTGTATTCCCCATAGTTCAGATTGATGACAGTCAATTGAACAAATCTGTGATGGAGATGACGGCGGTGGTTGTCTCTCTCCTCGCCAAGATCGACGAAGGGGGAGATAGTTGATCGGCGACGATGGAGGTGGTTGCCTATCCCTCCAACAAAATCGATGACGGGGAAGCAACTGTCACGATCCTGCGACGTCGTTTTTGTATTGAGCTCAGTAACATCATCCGAGGACGAGATAGCACGTGGCTTGTGATCAGGAAGTGAAGTTAGTTATTTTTTTTTATTTTTTTTTTTTGGAAAAACAGAAGAACATTCATTAATTCAAATCGAAGTACAATTCATTGACAATAAAGGACCGAGGGTTAAAGGACCACTCATGACGCACAGACATAGAACAGACTTCCCTGGTAAGGTTATGGGCAACACTATTCGCAATACGACTAACATAAAAGATGGCTACATGCCTAAGTGAGCTGTGAGCGTAGCAAATTTTTTATATCTGAGATAACAAGATCAAAAGAGGACTCCTCTCCATTAAGATTCAAGCTTTGGACAATTTGGAGAGCATCAGTTTCAACCCACCTATAACCCATACGATATGAGTTTGGATTAACAGCGGCAAAGTTAGTTGTTATTATATTTTGTTATTTTACTACTTTCCTTTAAATTTTCAGAGGATGTTGAGAAAAAGATATAGATGGAATCATGGAATGAATCCTTTAAATTTCCAGAGGATGTTGAGAAAAAGATATAGATGGAATCATGGAATGAATGAGAATTTGGGAGGCTACATTTGCTCACTGCGCACAAAGAACCCCCCTCACTGAGACTCAATCCCTGGTCATTTTTCCAAAGTTTCACCTCTATGACCAGTTGAGCTACCTACGGTATTCTTTTCTTTTAATTATGGATGGCAATGGAGAATATTGTGTGTGTGTATTTATTTATTTATAATAATTATTCGGGGACGGGACGGGGAGGGATATCGCCGTCTCCGAAAATTTTTCTTATCCCCGTGTTTGTCAGGATGGGGATCGGAGATCCCTGTTAGGAACGAGACAAATTGTCATCCCTACTTTTAATTTATCTAGGCTATTACATTTGATATCAAAGCTTGTAGCTCGCACTGTCATGTTGGGCTCAATTACTGGAGATGATAAACACTGTCATGTTGGGCTCAATTACTGGAGATGATAAACGTCAACGGATGAAAGATAGACAAGTGCAGATCGAAGGCCAAATGGAAGCCGTGAGGCAAGAAATGCAGGATCTCTTTGATCGTGTTTGCTAAGGTTATTGAATCGTCCAACTCCACCTGTGTTTGAGACTACTCACAGAACCTCTTTAGTCCGAGGGAGAGATAATGTACCTAATCTTTGCAACTGGGAACCTGGGGAAAACAACTATGCTCCAAGTAGAAGGATCAATGTTCTTGATGTTGTTGAGAATATGAACCTGAATCCCCCTAATGAAATACAAAACCTACCTAGAGTTGAATTCCCATAATTTGATTATGCTTATACAATCCTAGGTTATGGGTTAGAAGATGTGAAAGATTTTTTATGATTTCCCAAACCCTTGTGTATTCTTATTTGGATTACTTGACTTTGTATCTGAATGGTAAGGTAGGAATATGGTTTGAGGGCTATGTGAGTAACCTAAGGGGTGAATTTGTTTGGATGGATTTTGCCCAAGCAGTTTATAGGAGATTTGGCAATAATTCAGTATCAATAGAAGAAGAATTCATTGTCCTTAAAACATATAGGTAAGGGGTATGAGTTTACAAAGAAGTATGAGGAATTAAAGAGCTCATTCAGAATATGAAGCTCAAAGTCTACAATGTACCGTCTTTAATTGTGACATAAGTTATGTTGTGATGAAATCTGTGACAAAGTAACATGGACTATCCATGGAGAAACATTTCAGAAGGATATTGAGGTTAAGGGAGTGCGATGTGGTCCTGCTCAAATTATTCCGTGGAGTCGAGTCTACCTTCATAATTTATTCATAATTTATCTTTTAAAAGTTCACAATTTGTATACTTCAAACATACAATGTTAACATATATGTAATTGATTACCTTTTTTATTCACAAGTTCCATTCAAATACTGCATTCACACAATATTAACATATTAGGATTTGATGACCCTGTATTGTATTCACAAATTCCCTTCTAAAACTGTTATAGTGTTATGTACACAATTTATATTCTAGAAGTTCACAATTCTAATACTAAAAATACACAATTTATACAACGTTTAAGACCAGGGTTTACCTTACAAAGTGAACCCCGGTTCATGGTATAACGTAACAACTCATGATCCTAAGTATGAACTGGATTGATCAGTATGGACTCATAGAACTGCACACTGCCACTTTAAACACGATTAAAGCAACACCAATCTAAAAATGACCAATTAATGCATAAAAAAAGTAAAACAATTAAGCACTTATCACTAATATTATTGAAGAATAAATAAAAAGATGTAATGAAATTATAATGTATAGATTCATAGATTTTCCTATGTATATGATTGAGATTTAATTGTAATCATATGGAACTCTTTCTCTTACAAACTCTACTTGATATTTTGAAATATTAATTTTTTTTCCAAAAATATTGATTAGATAATAAATTTTTTTTCATTTAAATTCCTATAGTGAAGTAAAAAATTTTCCAAGACAGAAAATAAAATGTGTTACAATGAAGAATGTTTAATTTAAGCAAAGAGAATACTACACATATCTTTCACATTTTTTAATGACCAAATTAAAAGAAACAAATCAACTAAGTAATTATTATTATTTTATTTTCAGATGAAAAAATATTTGCGAAAAGAATTTTAAAAATAATAATACTAAAAATAAAAATAAATGTAACGAGTTCTTTTTGTATGCACTAATTTGACTGTTATAATAATAAATAAACAACAACAGCTACTACAACAAAATGTCCATCATCATCATAATTCATTAAAAAAACAAAAATAAAATTGCATTTTGGTATATATTTATCCTATCCATTGTCCACATAAGAAGATAACCATCTTCTTCAATATTATTTAAAAAATAATAATTGAACTGATTTTACAAGCTTAAAAGTTTAGTTAGAGTTTTTTTTTTAGTTGAGAATCTATTCCATCTTAATATACATTTATAATTTATGCTTTCGAACGAACAACTAGTTCATCTGAAATATTATTGAAGAATAAATGATGGATGAAGACACCTGATATGGCAATTAGATCGACGGCAACTAATATGTTTTTTAATTTATAATTTTTTATCCTTTTATTCTTCAATTATGCTATGTACCATGGAGCTGGACGGATTATCTTTATTCGTTTTTAATTATTTGTTTCAAGATCTTTAAAACAACATAAATGTCTATTGAATTCTAACTTCTAACTAACTAATTAACACAACTCATCACCTAACAAATTAATGTAAACGAGTTTTTTTTTTTCTTATTTTATGACTATACAAATATAGAAAGGATGTCAAGCAGTGCAACTTTGACCGACGACGGATATAACTTATCCCCTACTTGCACCCCCACCCACCAGCAAACAATCAATGATGCGAAGTGGACAAATTTTACTGTAAACCATGATCCAAAACGGGCGTCGTTTCTGTTGATGAAAAGAAACGGTACTGTTTTATATAATTAATTATGTTTGTATAACATATTCAGTTTCATTATATATATATATATATATATATATATATATATATTGTAATTTCATTTCAGCACAACTAAAATTTTATTTTAATTTACTTCAACTACAGTTTCATTTGACATTATACATACAATAGTCTTATTACAGTGACACGTGTTATTGAATTTCATTTTATATACACTGTAGCCTTATTACAACACAACTAAATTCTAATTCTAATTGAACTACGATTTCATTGGATAATATACACTCAAATATGTGAAATTATTATTCAGTTTCTTTTTATATACACTGTAGTTTCAATACAACACAACTAAAGTATCATTTTGATATAACTACAGTTTCATTTGACAATATACACTCAATATTTGAGACATGTTATTCAGTTTATTTTTATACATACTGTAGTTTCATTTTAGCAAAATTAAAGTATAATTTCAATTCAACTACAACTTTATGACAATATACACTCAATATGTGAGACATGTTATTCAGTTTCATTTTATATATACTGAAATTTCATTTCAACACAACTAAAGTATCATCAATTGAATTACAATTTCATTTGATAATATAAACACAATATATGAGACAAATTATTTAGTTTCATTTACATATATACATTGTAGTTTCATTTTGTTCTAAACACATAAAAAAATACGGAATTTATTAAAATTTAACGGCTATCATTTCTTTGCTTAAAGAAATGCCGCCGTTTACAAACCATGGCCCACCGTATAATAACCGTGCGAAGTGCGAGCCAAACAATAAATTGATAAGAGAAAATAGCATTTTTCCCTTATATCTAGTCTAGATTAAATAGCAATTTTATTTTACAAATTATTAACATAATAAGTATTATTAACATTCTAAGTTAAATTTTTTTTATTTTTTTTAAACATTCTAAGTTTTCATGAGATTGCGATTTTTATTTTTTATTTTTTTGTCATGAGATTGCGATTTTAGTCTCCCTTTTTATGAGATTGTGATTTTGATTCATTAAGCAGTTTGCGAAGACTTTAATGACTTAAAATCATAAATTACAATTTTGTTCCTATATTCAATAATAGGCTACATAGTACATACAATAACAATCTTTAACGCTTAGCGTTAACCAATGAAAAAAATCACTACCTTATGAAAAATTGAAGGTACACAATTAAGGAATTAAAACTATTATTTCGTATAAATATATGAGCAAAACACACTATTTTTTCTAATAAAAAACAGATAACATTATTGCAACGTTATGGGGCCATATGCAATTAACATCTTTATTAATGTTCCTCAGATGTGACTTATATTTATTAGGTATTATTGGGTATGCTCATGAATTGAGTTACTTCACTATTTGTAATCAAATACTAAAGAATTCAATTAGAAAGAATTCAATTAGATTGTGACATTGTCAAAGAGAAAATTTAGGAGGGATGTGTAACATTACTCTTAAACACAAATTTGCATTGAGAAAAAAAGGTTCATCACAATTTTTTTTTTTTATAAATAAAAGTAGACCGTATAAAAAGAATAATATCCAACGATATGACAATTTATATCGTGGACTAAGGTCAACATAGCATTGTGGATCCTAGATCAAAACGATGCCGTTTTGATAATTAAACTTTAACAGATTCTGTAGGTTCACGTTTCTCATGTTTCAACACAAATTTTATTTTATTCTATGTATATAATCAATATTCTTAAGGTACATAATTTCATAACACGAGACATAAAACCTCACAACACAAGACACATACAAATGTTATATGTTTACTTATTCTCAAATTTGATTTATGTAGATAATATGTTCTATAGGCACATAATTTTATAATACAAGACTGATACTGCTAATTCTACGTAAGCAATATAAAATAACACGAGACCAATTAAAGCAAGTACAATCTTTATTGATCCCGGTAAAGGCCCTAAGTACAATCTACTTGGCTGCTCTGAGTACCGACTGACTGCGGTCGGGATTCTCTAACAACAACCTATCGATTGTCCAAAAGTCCCTTACACTGTAGCTACTGTGGGTATTTATAGTTGCTAGGCCGGGGACAGGATTCCAGCCGTTCGGCATGTCCTCCACGTAGCCACCACGTGTCATCCTCCCGGGTGCCCTGCCTGTCGATGTAAAGAGCCGCCACGTGTCCTTCGTCAGCTCTTTCGCCGAAGGGCTACCGCTCGGTGGTCGACAACGTCGCTCGGGCAACTCCGGTCGGTCTACGACCGGGTTCTTCTTGTGGAGCCCGACCTGTTACCTGCAAAGACAAGGAGAAAGAGACAAAGGCTCCTCGGTCGTGGTGAAGCTATGTCGGTCGGGATATTCCCTACCAAGAGCCCCCCAGCCCGGGCCTTTTTGATCAGTCGGGAAAAAACGGGACGGGATGAGAGAAGCCCAACCGTCAGCCACCAAGCCGACCTGCCAGCTGTCATTCCCTCCTACGCCACGTGTCGGCCTCTGCCGGCCTCGGCGATCCCATCCGTCGCCTCGGATTCAGCGCGGGTCGTGTCAGGCAAGTTGGCCCATTTCCCGCCTAAATGCCCTCCTATAAATAGGCCCTTGAGGCCCTCATTTGAACTTTCCTCACTCTTTGGCTTCAGTCGGTATCCTCTAAGAATCCCGAGCAGAGCATCTCAGCAAGGCGATCAAGCAAAGCAAAACTTCAGACCTTCTTCAAAGTTTCCTCACTCGGTAAGCTCTTAGTTCTTTACTCTTTGTTTACTCTTTACTTAACGCAGAAGTAGGATAGCACTAACTTCGAGCTAACTCCCCGAACCCTGTACTAACTCCCGACCGACCTTTAGGTAGAAATATGTCGGATTCGGATAGTCAAAACGCCTCGATCGCGGATTACGATGAGGAGGTCGAGCGTATCAGCGACGAGGAAGTGGACATTATGTCCTACACTCCCGAAGCCAGCCCCCGAGCAACGCCAGCCCCCGATCGAGCTGTCGAGCATCACAGCGCATCAAGCTCCTCCGGGACATCGAGCTCTAGCTCCAGCGGATCGGGGAGCTCCAGCGAAGAAGAGGAAGGGAGAACCACGCTAAGCGGGCGGGGCTCTCCGATTGAGGGCGTTAGGGAAACGCCTACCCGGGTGGTTGGGGACCACCCGGAAGCTGCTCCTCGCGGGGGCGATCGAGAAAATACCCCCGAGCAGACCGAAGAAGACCCGGCCGGGCCGGCCACACCAGCCGTCGAGCTCGAATTCTTGAACAGCGAGAGTGTCGAGCAGGAGATGAGCCT